AATTGTGCCGGCGGCTCTGCGGCGTCGTGGCGGCGCTGGTGCTGCGGCTCAGCACCGTGGCGGCGGAGCGGCGCGTTGTGTGTTGTGCCTACGAGGCGCAGGAATCCGACCGACGAGCCTCAATGCTACTAGTGCGAGAGTTGGCGCAGGAGCTGCAGCGCACCCGATATGCGCCGCTCTGCCGCCCCCGCCACTCGCTGTGCGCCGTCGCCGCTGCGGTTGTGGCGTGTGGCCGCATGCAGCGTCTCGCCCAAAGCCGTCGCGTCACTGCCACCCTTCCCAGCAACGTTCACAACAGCAGCAATACACTACCACGGTCCGTGGCGTCCAGCAGTCTGCGGCGCCTCGTGGAGGCAGTACCGCTGGCGGCTACAGCAGTCCTGCGGCACTCGCCATTTGGCACTATGCCCGTAGTGCGGTTGCCACCGCTAACGTCGCTCTGTAACGCCATTGCACCAGCGGACGGAGACGGCGCGGTAGACGGTGGCTATGTGCTTCAGGAGCTCCTTGCCCTGGCAGAATTGGATGTCGGTGCGGAGGAAAACCGCGTCTGCTTCGCTGCCGATGCGCCGCTAGGCGCTGCGCTGCTGCTGTTTCCCCAGGTGCCTGTGGTGCGTCGTGCCACGTCGCATGGACAAGGGCGCAATTTTTGTCGCTATCCCACAGTGGCACAGGAGCTTACAAGCATTGTGGGTGTTGTGCGTCGCTACCTCAGTGAGGTGGAGGGCAAGCTGCAGCAGAAGGACGCCTCTATCCAGCGTGCAGAAGAAGAAAATTCCCAGCTTGCGTGTGTGCTAGAGGAGCGCGAGCAACTTGCTGCTGGTTTCGCCCAGAAGCTTCATGACTACGAGCAACACGTGGCAGCAGCGTATGTGAACCGGGACGTGCACCGGCAGCTGCAGCAGCGTCTCACGGAGGCGTTTGACGCGCTGCAACAGGAGCGCGAGGCGCGGCGGGGCACAGAAGACGCCAACGCCGTACTGCGTCAGCGCGAGGTGGAGCTCACTAGAGCTGTGCAAGAAATGCGTGATGAGGTGCGCTCCCTCTCCATCGAGCTCGCAGAGCGGCAACAGCAGCCGCATGGCATCTATGCGACATCAACACCGCAGCCGCGCTACGGTATACTGAGCCACAGTGCGGCAGCGCGTTCAACCGCTGCGTCGACGCCGGGGGGACTGTACGTCCCCCGATCTGTCTCCGTGCCAGAGGCCACTGCTGACTTTACTGATGCCGTGGCTTCTGGTAATCGTGCTGCTGCTGCTGGTAGTGCTAACAACAATACTTTTGAGGATGGCGTTGGTGTTCAAACAGGTGAGGCGCTGTGGCGTATCATTGCTGACATTGAGTCGCGCGTCGCGCGGACTGGCAGCCACACACCACCCGGGGCAGCGCAGACATGAGCACTGTTTCACTTCCCCACCCCAGACATAACGCAAGTCTTCCTTGTTATTATTTATCCTTGTCTGTCTGTGCGTGAGGGGAGAGGAGAGGGACGGTGGCTTTTTTTTTTTTTTCGCCCTATTAGGTGCCTATTCCGAGGTGTTGATCTCTTCCTCTGTGCGGGTCCCGGCGGCTGCCGTGGTGTTCCTCACGCCCATGCCTTTGTTCCTGTCGCTCCTGCATCTATTTGCGACGCTCACGGTTAGTGCTGCGCAGAGGAAAGTAAGAGGGGAATAGATAGATAGATAGTGAGTGAGAGAGCTCGCCCCTGTATGCAGCACCACGCAGAATAGTTGGGAACGGCCTGTGCACACGAACATAAGAGATCACAGCCGGCGTTGTACTGTTATACATTTTCTGCATATAACAGGCTGAGCGGCAGTACAAACCAGAGGTAAAAAAAGAACCTAAGGTTTTAAAAAAAAAAGCCCAAACCACACATACACGTACATTAGCAGCAACAAGCGTACAAAGGCGCATTGGTTATGAGCGCCAGTAACAAACGGNAAAGCCCAAACCACACATACACGTACATTAGCAGCAACAAGCGTACAAAGGCGCATTGGTTATGAGCGCCAGTAACAAACGGGAGGACGGTGCAGGCCGCGCCCCAGCGTGTGCCGCATTCGCCTGCTGTGTGTGCCGCCGCATCGTCACGCTCGACGGGCGGGGCGTGGCGTGTGGCGCGGGCCTTCCGCTCGCGTTGCCGTCGTCGATGTGCACTGCGCCGTCAGTAGTAGCAGCAGCTGCAGCAGCAGCATCACCGCTTCGGCCGCCGAGTGGCGTCTTTCTCAAGACATCGCGGGTGCTGCACGTCGAGGATACGGTGGCTGAGCGGCGGCGCCGCAGGGACCAGCGAGCTTCGCTTCTAAAGGCGAGGGATGAGGCGTGGCGGGACCAGCAAAGGCAGCACCAGGAAAATGTAAAGGGATCAGGTGGGGGAGATGCCGAAGCGGCGCTGGATGAGTGGGAAGAGCAGGAGACGGCACACCGGCAGCTGCTGCACCCGGCCATCAGGGGCTCACTGTTGAGCGCGGCGGGAAAGTACACTCCGCTGGCGCCATCGCCACTTACGCCGTGGCTCAACACACGCTACGCCCGCTTGAAGAACGGCTTGTATAACACCAGCGGCACAGCTCCCGCAACGGTCGATGCAAGGCGAACAATGACTGCGGAGGCGCGCATTGTGGCGCGTCTGTCACCGTCTTTTTCGTATCAGTACGCGTGGCTTTCCGCGGCGGAAGCGGAAACGTACATAGGGGAGCTGTGGCGCATGCTACACGACGCTCCAGTTCCCCCGCCAGGCTCGTCGACCCCACTCACTGTTCAGTGTGACGAGTTCCGTCGTGGGGAAGAGCAGAAACTGCAGCAGGCTGAGCAACAGCAAACCGCCGGAATGACAACAGAGGTCACCACCACGCCACTGGGCTCCCCGCAGCTTCTGCCGTCATCACGGCGGGTTTCGCAGCTTTCGTTTGCGTCGGCCAACAACATTCCCTCGCTGGAGGGGTCGCCAACGATGAATCTCTGCGCGCCGTCCCTTGTGCCAGGCCGCACGGCACCCTCTCCGCTCTTTGCGGTGACGGCAATAACATCTGGCTGCTCACCTCGTGCGTTGCCGACCCTGCACATGCGCAAAATCGAGGCGATGAGGCTGCACGCAGTAGATTCCGATTCTACGCGTAGAGGAAGAACGTCATTGACGAGCCGTATCCCGCCCAAAGCGACGATACCCTTGCCGCAGTTGTTGTCTTCCTCTGCCGCCGCCGCCGTTACTGCAGCCCTGCCCTCCAGGGAGGTATATATCTCGACGTTTGCGCGCCACTTAATGCGGCGGGTGGTGCATAACGCTGGCACAGACCTACCGCTCTGCCCACGTTGCTGCAAGGAAGCTCTGGAAATGCAGCAGAAGAGCGTTGGCCAGGTTGTAGAGGATGTCGTTGGCCTCGCCGCGGCTTATGCAAACCCCGACGCGGTGAGTTTTGTACTTTGCTACCGTGCGGGCTGCGCGCGCGAGGAGACGACGAGACCTGGCTTGTGTGATGCGAGCGCAATAAACACCCGCGAGGCGCCACTGGCCTCCAGCAATAATGACAACAGCAATAAGAATTCTCCAACATCAGAGGGGCAGAATCATCATCAGCAGTGGCAGCAGGACCGTGAGGATGGCCTCGTTGGTGTGCAGAACATATTGGTTAATTCGGATGTGAGCGTCAGCTGTGTGGTGCAGCAAGAGGCGCTGCAGCGGCTGAAGCTGGAGCTGCTGGAGGCGGAAGCGCAGTCGCGTCTTCTTTCTGCGTTCTTGCAGGCGTTCCGCCATGAGGCAGACGTGCTGGCGGCGCAGCGGCGCGTCGAGGCCTCGGCGTTGTGTGCAAAGATGGCGGCGGCGCGCAACGCCCAGCAGGTGCGCGCCTTCTTTGATGTGGAGGACGCCGCATCAGGAGTCGCCCTGCGTATGCAGAACGCCATGCGCAGCTGTGCCTTTGTCGCTAAGACGAGCGCAGTGCTGCTGGCGTTTCCCGTACGCACCAGCGGCGTTGTCGCGACGATCGCGGGGCTGCGGCTCGGCCAGCACCCCGCCAACTCGGCGGCGTGG